CACTTTGGTGTTGGTATCCAAGAAGGGGTGAAAGGTGCGTTAAAAGGGAATTCTTTGTATTTATTAAAAAAAATTATTGATATATGTGCTATTCACTATATTTCTTTTATAGACTTTCTTTTCTTGTTTTGCAACTCATTTTACGAGCTTTCAAATGTGAATGAAAACAGAAGTGCTTCATTTAGCTGAAAACAGCTGTAATGTAGCTTAGTGTATAACTTAATTGTTCGCAAATGTTTTCCTGTAAGTCATACTTGTAAAATAGTTTCAAATGACAGTTTCCTTTTGGACCAGAGTGATTTGTCCATGTATTTTTCCATTCACAGCATTTCAATAACAAACTTTTCAACACAAAAATAATTTCTTTTTTTATAACGAAAAATCCCCTATAATAATAGCAAAGGTTATTTCGTTTATGCTTTTTTGTGGTTTTGGTAAACATTTTTCTGAATACCTCCATTCTAAAAAGGAGATATTCAGCCAAAAATTGGATACCTCTTGAAATAAAAATATCACAGGCACAAAATTGGAACATTTTGTGCCTGTGATAAGAGGTTTGATGCAGCTATCCATTGCCTAAGGATAGCTGCATCCCAGTGGTGGCACACAGTGAAGCATTCATACTCAGAGAGAAGAGCTTGTATCCACATTTTGACAGGGGGTCGCTTTGTCTAATAAAACTCCACAGAGCTCCAGAACAATTTATGCGGCCACAAATGTCTTTCTTTACCAGTAAATGTTTTTCTTTTAGATTAGAAAATCCATGTTTTGCCAACTATTCCCTCTGAGCACCTCATTCGGAAACCCATTGACGCTTCTGACACTTTCCCCCCTCCCCACACTCCTACAAGTATACATGAACAAAAAATACATGCAACATATAATCAAAAAGTGTGCCACAAACATACTGCTGTCTGGCAGGGACCTGACCTCTGAGCTGCATGCAGGTGATGACTTTAATTTGTTCCCAGAGGATGAAACCTGCTGACTTTTAATTTGTCTAAGATTGTTTAGTAACAAAATACATTCAAAATGTATATCAGCTGTACTTTATGTTTAATGTTAACCATGAAAACTGAGAAAGCTTGCACAGGTGATATAAATGATATCTGCTCAACATCTTCGACTCAGACATTAAATGTGTTTAAAGAAATGACACTCACTCCTTGTCCGTCCCTTACTTAAAGGGGACCTATCATGCAAAATGCACTTTTGTACGTCTTTTATACATGAATATGTCCCCGGTGTTCCAGGGAACTCACCAAGTGTCAGAAAACACAACCCTCTCTATTTTCCTCCATACCCAAATCTCTAAAAACAGGGCTGCAACGGATCTGATACAGACTGATCCAAATTTGAACATTTCTCTGACGTCAGGACGGAGGAGCTGACCTATCAGGGGAATGAGAGGTTGCCGTGGCATGGTAACAGCATGGTAACACGACGCTCGTAACTCGGCCCCCTCCTTTGCAGGGGGGCGTGGTCAGCTGCAGCGCATGCAAAGACAGGGTGGAGGAGAGCAAAATAGAGCGAAATGAGGCATGGCTAAAGAAATAAATATACCTTATATGTGACCCGCTCTATCGAAATCAGTCGGAAGTCGCAACGGCTCATTTCAAAATAAACGTGGATTTGCGTAAAAAACTATTTTTTCGGGGTTCGGGTGTTTTGTTTGATTTTAAATAAACAAAGTCTTGGCTTTCAGAATATGAAACTTTTATTTCCAAAATCACACGATAAATACATTTGTGAAGCTTGTAAAGGGAAGATGACAGGCACCTCTCACTCGCAATCTGCTCTTCCGGAGCGCAGCTCCCCCCCTCCCTCCGGCTGAAATTATGAATGTAAGGCATATAGTAATCATAGATAACACGGCAGGGTCCGTTACAGTTTGTTTTCATCTGATTTCAATTAAACAAAGTCTTGGCTTTCAGAATATTAAACTTGTTTCGGCAAATTTAGATGATAAATACAACTTTGAAGCTTGTAACGGCATAATTACAAGCGGAGAACGGAGTCATTTAACGTCACAGCAAGCATAACAACAGCCGGTGTTTCTCGTGAGTGTTTTCCCCGGGAAACAAACACAATATACACAAACGCAAAAATACACAAACACACACACACACATACACTCACACACTCGCGAGCTTCCCCCAGACCAGTAATCCAAACGGAAATATTTTCCCTCCGGACTATTTTGATCATTTGCTCCGCTAATAATCAATCAGATCGATGGATTCCAGAGGAGGAAACTTTGAAGGCCTTTTTCTCAAAATGATGACTCGGTGACAGTCATTATATAATGTGACATATTTTGCTTAATATTTGGAGAACAAAAACAATCCTGATATCATTAGAAAGCTAGGAATCTCCTCTTTCCAACAGTGTATACAACTCAAAATGTGTCTCCGGGTCAATGCGACTGATTTCGATAGAGCAGGTCACATATAGGTATGGCCCTACAATATATTATTCAAATATAGCATGATAGGTCCACTTTAATCTACTATTTCCTTTCTGTCACCCACTCTCCCTCTTCTTCCAGACTTCCATAGAATTGTGATGATATATTAAACTGTAATGCCAGGATTCATGGAGTTTTTCTAACACATTTTGAATTAGTCACCCTGCTTTCTTTCAGTGCTTCCTGATTTCCTTTAAATGAATTGTGTCTTTATCCCAGTTCATGCATGCACACGTCATACTCACCATAGAGACATTGTGTCTCCTCACACATACAATCACACATAATAACGTGTACACTCTAATACATTCCCTCGAGACTAGATTAACCAATCTGTCGTCATTACGCTTCATTTAACAGATAACGTGAAGCACACACTTCATGTGCAGGAAGCTGTATTCTCCTGTGGGCACAGACAAAGACGCATGAAATGTAATTAATTGTTTCTTTAGACAATACATTATGTTCCATTTATCCTTTGTGATTGAGCTGCTCTCTAAACACACCAGGTGAGATTACTGACAGTTAATTGCTTTGCTTTAAAAAATAGCTTCCTCTCATCTCTCATTTGAATTCTCCTCTCTTCTCTCTTCTCTATTCTTTGATCTTCGCAGTCACCTGATTTTCTCTCTCTATGTATCCTGTGGAAAAAAACAAGAGGAGATTGAGCTTCAATAGAATTTCCATGGCAACAGATTTTCCATCATACCTCCAATCACTTTACTCTGGCAGTTCGTCCAGGGAGAGCTGGATATGATCTGCTGTAGACTTTGATCATGATCCCACTGATCTTCCAATCAATGTGAAATAATGACCTCTATCTCCATCATGCACTTGATTTGGATCATTAAGGTCTTTCTCTTTCTTTTTCAAACGCCGGACTCAGGTCTGTAGATAGTTTGAGCTTCTATCCTGTATCAAAGCCAGGCTGATGTTTTGTTGCTACCTGCAATTTTGGTGGGCTTTACAGCTTGGAACGGCACTGTTTTCACTCTTTTTGTCTTCATAATAGCACAGCTTTTATTTGACTCACCTCCTGCTGTATGTCAGAGTGTCTGAAGTTGGCGGTTCATTTCTCAGGTCGCGGCGCTTCGGTTTTCCCAAAGCTTGCAGCCTTCTCTCAGAACATGAGCATGAACTTGCACATAATTGAGACTACTGACATTTAATGTTGTTTCAAACCCTGAGTTTTCCCCTTTCAGCCCAGAGATCCGCCAGGGTTCCATCATTTTTTAGATTAAGGGAAGAAACAGTTTATTTTATTGATAGTTATTACATTTGCTTTGTCCTAGAGGACTCCCTCCTACATTCAGGGCAGACAATTGTATCTTTCATAGAAATATCATGAGATGTGCACTGTTGGCATTTACTGGATACAAGTAGATGATTCCATATTATGTAAATGCAATTTTCATCAGGTCAAAATGTATGTAGGATAGATGTTTGATTGTATTGTGTGCATTATTGTATTGTGTATCAACGCGTGGTATTATCATACGCAGCATTAATTATAACAAAGATTTCCAATAATGTCACACATCTACCAAATAAATGATGTGTCGTATTACAAATAATGATATCTCAAGGTCTTTCCACCATGGCTTTCAGTTGCAACAAAGAGATTAAGTGCAATAAATATGACAGCAAGTAAAAATAATGCTATTTTCCAGTCCTGGCTCACTCATATATTAATCGTTGCAGGTATTTCCTAATGAGACACCCAGACGCTGTGTTCTTTACATGGCTAATTAGCTGGATTGCTCATTAAACAATTAGTCTGATAGTCTCTGTTTTTTTTTCCCCTTCAGTTCAGATGATTTGTCTGACATTTGCAGATACCTCTGTTAATTGAGACTCTCAGATAAACAACTTTTAAAAGTCAGCTTAACAAATTGTTGAATATTAAATGGGCTCTCAGTTTTAGAGCTATTGAAGTCATCCAGTCTCAGTCCCAGCATGACCTGACTGTGAGTTTGAATTCATTTGGGTAATATGAGTATGGAAGGACGCTGTAGTTCAAATTGCTCCCTTTTTTATTTAGCCCTTAATTAAAAGGAAAACTCAGTGGGCTTAAAAGCTTCAGACATTTTCAAACCGACTGCTTTGTGTCTGATGGTAGCCATGCCTAGTTTAAAAGGGGTAAAAATAGAAAAGCATAGATTCTTATTTGTCATTTCCTCAATACAATTAAATGAATAATCAGTTTCTATCGCAGAAGGAGTGGTATTAAACATACATCTGTCAAAATATAAAACATCTGAAAGATAAATGTGAAAACTAATTCTTAATAAACATAGAACATACAGCAGAGTATTCTCATGTATACTGCTTAGTGATTAGAATTAGGAAATGTTGCTCTGCGCTGCTATTTCAAGTAATATATAATGGTGGTTAAGAGTCAGTGGGATACAAATAAGGACATTTTGTCTTTATCCCACTTCCTTTCCTTTCCTCTCTCCTTTTTACCAACTGTTTCCCTCTTCCTTTTGTCTCTCTCTAACACTTCTTCTCTTCTCTTCCCAACCCTCTGCAGCAGAGCCATTGGATGGAGAAGAATACCTGGACATTATAGGTATCATGCGAAACCAAGCGGGTCGTTATGAATGCAAGGCCAGCAATGACGTTGCCACACCTGATGTCAAATACGTCAATGTGGTTGTCAGCTGTAAGTAACCGCACACACTGCATCGATTTCTGTAGTCAATACTGAACAATGATTATTATGCTCTCCACGTTTCATGTCAGAATTTTCACAAGATGATAAACTTAACAGATAAAACCATATTGAAGTCAAGGCTGGATTTATTCAATGAAAAGATGGGGAGTAGAGTGTGGCAGAGAGGTGATGGCTCTATCTTGAAAGTGTTGGAGCACCCTTCGCTCTTCTCAAGATGAATCTAAGTTGAAGGGAAAAGATCTCCAGCTTTGATTGCAACTGCCGTGTTCATGGTGATTCTCACATACCTTCATCATTCAAGAGACACTTAGCCTTTCAAAACAAGATCACCTAATTGCATCTTGTCAGGGGTCCATGTTAGATCTGACGAGTGTAATGCATGCGTTGGATTGATAAACACCTTATGAGATACAAACCAAGATATATAATTTTCTTTGATCCGAACAAATCACATCTGCCTTGCTGCCCAATTTGTTCCTGAAAAAATAATATAGATGTATATGAAACCATATTTCATATTTCATCCTAAATGTAGAACAGATATATATCCACATCAGACTTATTTATGGTTGTTCTTTTTTAGTGTTTGCATAAATCATCAACAATTATGATAATTATAGCAGTAATATTAATTATATTACATTCTAAAATTGTAACTTTACATTCAAATATCGTTGATAAACATTCTAGATTGTAATATTATTTAATAGAGTGCCACAGTGACGCGTTCTAAAACCCGGAAGTAAGTTAGCATTTTTACCACTTCCGGCTCCTTCGACAAAAAGCAATGGAATTTCTCCATAGGATTTTGGAAAATAGCTGGAAATAAGGTCTGTGGTTGAGACGCATTGAAGAGACGGATCACGTTTTGTTCTACAACATTAAATACATCAGCAGTGACCCCACTGTTGATTTTTGACGAGTTTACGGGTCTGAAAAACGATGGTTGTTAACATGTGGCTGAATAGGACTACAGAAGTTGTCCAGGCCGTTTTACGTCATTACACCGAACACGTAAAACACTCCCGCTAAGTTTGTTTTTCCCCGTGTTCTGCTTGAAAGCAAGTACCTGCCTCCTGCAAACTGTTCAAACAAACGCTTCAACTTGCACACTTTTGAATCTGTATGTTTGAATATGGATCTTAAGTTGGCGTGACGTTGAAGCAGCGACCCTGCTGTAGTTCGTTTATAGCATAACGTTAGCATTTTGCTTCTGGCGACTAGATTTATGATTAGAAAATTATAAAAGTAGGATAGACATGTGGAGATTATCCGGCTGAACAAAACTTGATCCGTCTCTTAAATGTGTGTCAACCACAGACCTTATTTCCAGCTATTTTCCAAAATCCTATGGAGAACTTCCATTGCGTTTTTGACGAAGGAACCGGAAGGAGTTTACTTCCGGGTTTTAGGACGCGTCACTCACTGTGGCACTCTATTGTGACATAACATTCTAGAACTTCAACTTAATGTTCCAAAACGGATACTTTTTAGTTTAGAATTCTAAAACATTCTAAATTGTAACGTTTTAGAATTCTGAATTGTAACGTTCTAAAATTGTAATCTTACCATTCTAAAATTGTAACACCGTAAAATTGTAGCTTCAAATACCAGAATTGTATTTGAACATTCCAAAACTCGAACTGATTGTTGTAAAATGGTTATTTCACATTCAATTTTCACTGTGTAAATTAACATTCTAGAATTGAAACAATCTTCAACTGTAACAGGTTGTCGATAACAGGCATCTGGAGTAGATGTCACGTCTCATGATTTTAAGACCTATGACATGAGAATAAAAATAAAAAATGTGTACGCAGATTGAACTTTTCCAACTTTTCTCTGGGCTCTGATGCGGAGAGAGAATAAACAAATTACAAAATGTGCCATTACAACTGTTTGACTGGGACTTTTAATTAAATCTGCAGGAATTGAAGGAAACAGAAAATGCTGTAATCACGTCTCATTGAAATGCATATTAGAAGAAGGAAATGTCCTAGCTCCTCGAATAATGTGGGAGTTTTACAAGGGAATATATTACGTTACTAGGAGCTGTGAATAACTTTGTGTTGAAGCATAATTTCACTGGTGTGATGCTTTTCGATTAAAGTTTAAACACCCAGATGACAAGAATCCGAAAGTGAGGGCACAGTGAGTTGCTGTTGAGTGTTGTCTCTTTGAGATCCGCTGGCAAGGAAACTGATCAGTTAACAGATCATCAACGCTTAAAGAACTGTGTTTTAAGTCATATTAATTTTATTTACAACACAACAGCTCCAGTGTATTTACTGGAAATGTGCTTATGAGTTTCATCTCTACTGTAAATGGTGAGAAGGTACAGAAAAAAAGGGGGCAATGGAAGTTGATGTGGGAACATGATGTTGATATTGGTTTTAAAATGAAACCCAACTTTGTGTGACTCTGCAGACCCTCCAACAATAAAGAAAACCCAGAGCTCAGAGACTCCAGTGGGTCGCATGGGGACGCTGCAATGTGACGCCACGGCTGTGCCCACGCCAGAATTCGAATGGTACAGAGACGAAAAAAGGTAAAACTTTACACACCTTCACACACCCCACATCAATGTCATCATTAGACACATGTACACAGGGCTGCATCCATGATACATGATAATATCTAAATACTTTATTTAACAGTGTGGGACTTTTCAAGATCTGATTAGCATGAAAACAAAAACACACAGCATTTTCTTGGTGAAAGCGAGGCTTGTAGTGAACCAATCTAAATGTCAACATCATTCTTTGGCCATTACATTGAGCGATGAACATGCTTTCGTTACAGATAAGAAAATTAGGCTAAATAACCAGAATTTTAGGCATGACCATGACGGCTGTAAGAGGATGCTGTGAGCACAATTAATGGCTTTCTAAATCAAAAACTGTATTCAGCATTGTTCCCTTTGCAAGTATTTGGTGATGAATGTACTGTATAGTATGAAACGTACATGGCCTGGGTCTAGATGCTAACTAAACGTTGAATAGAGTACTTTTCTCCTCATCTCCCAAATGATGTCATCACTTTATAATGTATATACTGTATGTGCCAGGCATGCTCCGTATCATTCTACTCGGTTGTTTTTAATGGATCGCTTTGATCCCTTTGACAAATCTGCCTTCCCAATGGTCCCTTTGTCACATCCCAATGATCATTTGATGACATCATCTGTGTGGTTTGATAATGAATAATCACCCACTTAATCACTCGCTAGGCTGTTATTCCGTTGTTAATTAAACATAACTGCGTGAGACAGCAGTGGAATCTGTGATTCTGTTTCTGAGAAGAGAATTATGTGAACATTTTCACGAGATTTTTATACTGGAGTCACTGAAAATCGCCATAACCCTTTTCTCGTACCACAAGTAATTCAAGTGAATTGGAAATCTCCTGTTATATCACAAATGGTGTGCCTAGTTGTTCATTGGGAAGTGGCCCATTTAAGTGCCATGCATGTGTCTGGAACACTCTTGAAGAGTATCAAACTGTAATGAGATTTAAAGGCATTGATACTGTAACTCAGCCCCTCCATGTCATCCCTTATCATTTTGTAACCCAAAATATATTGTCCTCTGCAGCAAACTCACCACTTGAGTCAGGTGTGAACAGAGGTGCATGAATGGGAAATAACAGCCAATGATAAGGAAATTGCCCATGAGAGCATCATGATCTGCAATTTCACTCCTAAACTTACTACAGCAGTGAAAGTCTCCTGAAGATCAGGGGGAGAATATTGGTGGAGTGTCAGCAGTGTTATCACAGATATGGTCTCTAAAGTAATGGGCCTATCACACCACTGCTTGAAAAGATTTATTGTCGTTGAATTATTTTTGCATTATCTGTTGTTTCCAACTGCCATCTATCTCAGTTGTTTTTTCCCCTTGAGGATTTTGGCTATGCGCCTGTTCACAGCTCGCCCTTCTTCTGCTGCTCCAGTGGAAAGTGTTATTGCACTTTCTCCTTGGATGATGCTGTTAATGCACCATAATAATATCATTTATCCTTGCTTGGCTAGTTAATTGCATAGTCTCTTCCCAAGAATCGAAGCTAATGCATTGTAGTGTGTTATATCTTATTTACCTGACTGTTAAGGTCTTGTTCCTGCGATGTGTTCCCTTTTAATCAGTTTAACCTCATCAACACACAGGTTATCGCCGTGCTCACACATGAGAAGTGAGGACACAGGGAATTGTTTTTGGATTTTCCCCTCTTTCATTATTTCAGCACGCACATTGTACTTTGATGATTTCTACATTTTTCTACAGGCTTCCTGATTAGCTTTGGTACCGTCTTGAATGAATCCTTCTTTTATCCCTTTCTTTAATAGCAAAACAAACTAGACTGTCATGTTGCTTTTAATTACCCATACCCTTCAGATGCAGGATTTCCCTCTGCACAGTGTCATTGTGTCAATCCCCCATTATGTATTTAGTTTTTTTCATGTTGGCAAGTAAATTAGTATTAGAGTATGTTCATTTTATATTGATAGTGTGACAACCCTACACATTTGAAATTAAACCCTACCTCGAGACTTTCCTCTTGGCTGGTTGTTACTCCAAACAATTCACACATCAGCTCTCTTGGAGTGAAGCACACATTTTTTTGCTTTAGTAATCTAGTGCCAAGTTTGAAAGGCATCGCTATCACCTGCCCAAGCAAACCAAACTGAAGGAGTAAACAATCCAGAGCTCAAACAAAATGCTTGGCAGCAATCGAACACATCCTGGGCTGTACAGCTTGCTTCTCTCTCCGTCTGTGACAAGTGTTGAGTCACCAAACCTTTAGAACATCCATCCTCTGTCAGTCTCAATATCCTCGTGAAAACATGGACGTCCTCAGCTGATGAAATGTAAATAAATGCTTCACAACATCTCCGGCTTCACCTTAATCTGAGAGTCTCCGTGGCGCTAGACACCCAATTAGCCGCAGTGGAAACTGATACATCATAATCTGAAAGAAGCTGGCCAAAAGTTCATAAATGAAAAGTATTAATACCTGGCTGTCATGACCCTACCTGCTCAATTTGTCTCTTCTCACTGCTGGTCCATCATGGAATTAAGATGAAACGGTAAATTACCTCCCCCTTCAATCTTCTTTCAAAGGATTCTGTACTGGTAAACCTAGAGAAGAAGCGACAAATCTGATGGATCCCAGAGAAAATAGTGTCCCGTTTCATGCAGTATGTTCCTAAATCTTAGATATTGTGTTTGTAGAATCCTGCTCTTTCTATCTACTTAAGCATCTTTTAACATAGGCTGCCCTTGCTCTTGGTGGAGTCAATCACTCCACCCATGTTTATAACATGAGAACATCCTACGTGAGATGTTAGCTCACATGATAGACAGATATGTGTGTTGTTTTGTCAGCTGATACAGAGCTGTCACAGACACCAAACCACTTTCAATCATGGGCTGGGTGACAAGTCTCAGCGGGAGCTTCGACTTGATTTCATTCATCATCGGCCTTGAATCATAACAGGCCTGTCACTTTCTGTGCCAGTGATAACCTACTTTAGATGCTCCCACACGCTATAGAATCAAATCTGTCCATCTTATGATTTGCTCTGGTCTCTCTTCTCTCTGCGCACACACTGCCCTCTGCCAAATAGAGAGGTCAAATCATTTCAATCTAGGGTTTAATGTAAGAGAGTGACTCCGTGCATCAAGAAGTGATCACTGGAGATATCCACCAGAGCACTGCTGCCCTCTGCCTGCGAGGATAAACATCAAAATTGATACAGTTATGATGAAAACATCCCTCCAAAAAAGTTGGAGTTGAGTCTGCCAATTTTAATAGATAATGTATTCCAGTCTATTATGCCAGGTGAAGCTGCCAGAGACACAGGCATATTTGAGGATAAACATGAAATCAAAGTGTGAGAGAAGTTGCCGGCTGCAGATATGTGTGTGCCAAACACGTTAAAAGTTGAAATTGGGCCTCAGGAATGATGAGTTCAAAAAATAGAATAGAAAAAGAGACACACTTTTAGGGCCAGAGATCCATTTTCCTGTTATTTCCACTGCACTTCTCTGCTGCTGGGTATATTCACTTGCAGCATGTGTGCAAAGAAAACCAAACAAGCCTGCAACCTTCACTGTGGAAACAGAGGAGTTTGACCTGTGCAGGGCGATTTATTCCCCGGCTGCTGCATTACAATCATTCGCTGTAATCTTGAGTAAAAATAGGTGTTTGCTTTCAGCGCCGTGTGTGCTGTGTAATATCTGGATCTTTCAGCATGCTCTGCGGGCAGGCAGACCTTTTTAATAGTTCAGTCACCTCTCATGAAGACAGGCTGGAGAATATATCTGCTGCTGAAGAAGAGCAGATATCGTGGGAGGGGCATTTGCCTTAAGATGAAGTGGAGACAGTGCTGCTGCACTTGCCCTTCCTTAGCTCTCGCTGTGTTGCTCTCTCACTTTCTCACACACACAAACACATACACACACACACACCGTCCCCAAGATGTCCCTATGGAAAGGACCTCAGCACATTTATCAAGTCCACACTCCCCACTGAGCCAAATTATGCTGTGCCATGATGTGCATTTTGCTGTTTATGTTAATACTTCCTATCAGCCAAGTGTGTGTCAGCACAAACCTCCAGCTCCACCGCTCCAATTCCGATTACTACATTATCCAGACTTAAGCAGGATTAAGTTGAGGCGCCTTAAATGAACTTCAGCTCATTCATGATACGAAAGGCCTCAATCAGCCCAGTACAAGCAGAATCCATTAAACGCACCGTCTTATTAAAAGAGTTTTATTTGCCCATGATGGTGGAAGGAGCAGTTCATCAACGAGGTAAACCGTCTGAGTCAGCACATTCTATTGATTAATTTGTGCTGAAAGGGGTTCAAGGAGGACATCATTAATTGGCAGAAGTTTGGTGGTCAAAAGACTCTTAAAAGTGCATGAAAAGACTTCGGCAGCATACTAATCGTTCATCAAAACAGTGATCCTGTTTGTTTGATGGCAACAATAAACATTATAGAAATAAAACTGTTAATATCCACACAGACGTTTCCTCAGTTACATTTTTGCAAACTCAATATTAAGAGAACGTCTTTGCTAAACACATATTTCAAAGGTTGAGGATCAAATGTCAACAATTGAATGAAAGATGTTTCTCTGACAATCTCAACGCCCTACTCTAAGATAGTTCACTGACACTGCTATTGCGAAGTGATTGCTAGCACTAAAGTAAAACTACTGTTAATAATATAATTTAATATAAAATTGAAATTGTTACAAAAATAGATTTAATGTACAAGGTCTTTATCTGTAAGCGTTGATGTAGCTATTTTAAATGTGTACTTCACAGTATTGTCGGAAACTGTGAGATTCAAATGTAATAAACTACATCAGGTTTACAATAAACAATTCTAATACATTTGTTGACACAATGAATGTGTCATTAAGTGATTTTTTTCAACAGATTCACAGAAATATATTTAATGTGTGCGTACGGTGTAAGACCCCAGTCAGAAAACAGCTGAACCATGGCAGCCAGGTCATACAAAGTGCCTTGTTGCTGAAGGGATAATTACCCAATGTTAGGTGGAACCAAACATGAACACAGAGCAGGAAGTCGTTACTGAAGCAGTAGATGAATTAGGTGAGTGAATGGCTGGAGGACGGCAGGAAGCAGCCGGGGGGGGTGGAGAGAGGCAGGTCAGGGCAGCAGAAGAGGAAGCAGAGGGAACGAGCTGGCAAGCAGGCAGGCGAGAGAAGAGGACTCCTGAAGCAAAGGAACAAGCGAGCATTATGTGGGGTAACACAACATTCTGCAAGTAAGGTTAGAGAAAGGTTAGAGTAGGGTTAGAGTAAGGTTAGGCCGTGGGTTGTTAGCTGATTATAGCCAGGTGTGTTGGCTCCGTCCAGGTTAATAGCGTTGACAGAAGTTTGGCGGGCTTGAAAAGACTACACCAGCATAATAATCTTTCATACGGGATAACAATGATCCTGTTTTTGGCTTCACTTTTTAGACCTGGAGGTTGCTGCTTTGAGGAGAACACAAGGGACAGACACTGCAGTGGCTGTGACATCTCGTTTATTTTTAAGCCAGCAGGATTTTTGTTCTAAGTTCAAAGTGTGTATTCAAAGTAGAAAAAATATCTGCATATTTTATTGGTTAATTAAGCTCTAATGAAGTCTCACGGCTCCTTCCCTTGCACAGACACTGCAGACTCTAATATTTTGCCCAAAATGTCACCAACTCCCATCTGGCCTTAAGTCCTCTGATTTTCATTAATTTGCAATTTACTTGACATGTCCTCACTGCTGTTTGTCTCTCCCCTCCAGGCTGTCCAATGCCCAAGGCATCAATATCCAGATTCTTGGCACGACAACTCTTCTCATGATTGCCAACGTCACTGAAGAGGATTATGGGAACTATACCTGTGTGGCCTCGAATCGACTGGGCGTCCAGAATGCCAGTCTCTTCCTCTATAGTGAGTATAAACACTAATGTGAATTGCTATAGCCTAAAACCTGAATACAAAAAAGGAGATTCTTGTTTCTTTAGAGGTAAATACCTTTGCAAATTAAATCATGACACATCCTGGGATGTTATAAGTAGACTATTGAGCCGAAATAAACACAACTGCAGTATCACCTCTTCACCAAACCAAATTTTAATCATTGTGAGATTCAAGGTGAGATTGAATTACTTTAAGATGTAAATTCTACTTCCCCATTAAATTATTGAAAATCAGCAGGGAGAAAAACTCACCTTGGTTTTCTATACTTTTATTCAAGCTTCTCTGCATGAGCTGAACAATTGGAAGCGTGTATGAGCCAAAATTAAAATAATTCTGTGTAGTAATTTTTCGGCACTTGGCAAACAGTGCAGGCTTCTCAACTCTGTCAGGCTAATTTAACTGAATCCGTGAATAAGGCTGAGAGGGAATGTGACATTTACTTTGGGTCAAAATAAGGCAACGTCCAAAGAATATATGCAAATTCGAAGGAATAAATACTCAGACAAACCAAATCTATGTTCCCCAAAATGGTTCACAAAAGTGTTTGTCTATCTTCATAACTGTTGGTTCAGCTGGGTGGAAAATAACTCAAAATGAAACTTTGCTTTGCGGAGTGGAGAAAACTTACCTCTAGAGGGTCTGTATATTGTTCCATAGTCGCTAATGTTAGCGTACTATTGTATTAGTTTAAATCAAAATGTCAATAGATAAAAGAACAAAAGTACAAATGCAGATTTAACTGTTGTAATCAGGTACATTTTAGAAATATGTATGAAGCATTGCAGTTGCACGATTGCTTTTTGCCCTTTGGAGGACTCTGCTGGATATTGGAATATGTTCACCAGCCAGCCAGTAGTTCTATTGTTGCTGGGAGTTTATCCGAGCTATTCTGATTGAAATGAGTACTAAATGAAGGTTGATTGGAGTAGCTCAGACTAAGACCTGACCATTATAACATTTTATTTTCCTTGCTGTTTTTTGAAATGCAGAATGATTTGTTCAACACACCTTGAACACATATTTCAGGTTTTTGCTCCACAGGATCAAGCTTTGAGGCATGTTTGAGTTCTGGCTCCATCGCCCAATCAGGGCTGTTGCAGCAGGTGTTTCACCAGCAAAGCTCTGGTTTGAGTTAGTTGGACATGGTTTCCTCTTCATTTGGCACACTAACGGCAGCAAGCATAAACATTCTGGAAACATTGCCATATATTTCATGTGGCTTGTGGCTTGAAAGCAGAGACAATATTAAATATACGTTGTCCTGCAGCATCTGCAATACCTGCTGCTGTTTGATAATCATCTGATGGCTACTGCACCCCGCTAAGCCGCTCTGTCCCAGCCCTCAGAGGCAGGCCAGATGACGCAGAGCTTTTAAATTCAAAACATCTGCTGCGACATAACTGATTGGCTTTTGACCAGGAGTGCAACATGCTGAAAGGTTGTGGCTTTAAGGATCAGTGCAACCACAGTTTTACTTTCAACAATGCAATTTTAAATGTTACATTCAAAGAAAGACTAATAGAAAGATAAAACATACAATTTGATATAATTGACAATAGACAACCTTGAATAAAAGGGAGCACTGCAAATAAAGATATCAAACTCAAATAACCAAACAAACCACGCACATAATGTGCTTTGTGTTTTTGGAGCATGCCAATCTTTTGTCTCTTCGTATGTGTTTTTCTAAGTTGGAGTGTGTTGAGCTTTTATGGCCACCTTAAATGTTCCCTCAGCCTCTTCTGCTCTGCTGTCTGTGGCATAAATTGGGCTTCAGTGATTTTTACAGCAAAGGAGGCAATAGCACACAATGACCACAAGATGTCACCAAACACCTCTCAAAGTAGTGATAGGTCCTCAGTAGTCCCTGGGTCAGAAGAAGTGCACATTTGAATATTTATGTATGTACTTTAAAGCACCAAAATCATTCATTTGGGTTTGATATTACTCAGTTGTTTGACTCCAAAAGTAGTTTCTGGGAGTCTCTTCTACAGTGCCCTCAAAAATATCAATATTATCTATGTAAAAACTCTATAGATATCCATTCAAATAAGCTTTATCGGCATAACCATTTTGCACACACAGTACTGCCAAAGCATATTGAACAAGGTAATGAAACAGTAACAATCATTTTAACTATATTATGTCATTTAAAATGAAGGAAAAGAAAGAATACAACTGACCTGATGGATATTATCGACTCAATATAAATTATGATGGCAATAGAAATAAGATCAATGTGATGAAGATAACAGTATGTATGTATGTATGTATGTTAAATGATCTCTCTCTCTCTCTCTCTCTCTCTCTCTCTCTCTCTCTCTCTCTCTCTCTCTCTCCTCTCTCTCTCTCTCGCTCTCTCTCTCTCTCTCTCTCTCTCTCTTCAGGACCCGGGACAGGTCACGATATCAACGGCTCTGCCTCTGTATCTAAATCACTGTGGCTCCTGTTGGCCTGCTTCGCCTGCCTTTTCTTCAAGTGTTAATACCGCTACCCTCCTCTTCCTCTTGTGCCCCCTACTGGCCTACCTTCGTCCTCTTCCTCCTCGTCTCCAACTCACCGACATCCTTATTGCTACCTTATTACCTACTTTTACGCCCCCCCCCCCCCCCCCCCCCCCCCCCAGACTGTTTGCATCATGATACAAAAACCTTACGTGCACTGCTTACAGATAAAACAAAAAACAATGGGTTATGAATAAAATGTTAGAAGAACAACAAAAAAAACGATGAAATGACGGACAGAACAAGCAAACAGTGCTCTTTTAAATAATTGCATTGTTGTTTTGTTTTTAAATAGTATGTTCTTTCGTTTCTGCTATATCTTGTCTTTGGGGTCAGGTTTGAGATTAGTTGTTTTGTTTTCACGGGAAAGCAGAGGCACCCGCTCACAGGGATGCTAACAATCATTTGTCTCGAGAAGTACTGAAGACAAAAGGTATATTCCTCCCATAGATGAATTATGTTAACTTAAATTGTAGACTTAACCGAGTGTTTAACCAGTGCATTAATGAGCAACATGCAAAGTACCTGCCAAATATCCATAAACTATATAGATTTGAAACTAACACATAGAGAATCTAAAAGAAGATACTGCAGCTGATTCTGTTCTGGCGTTGGAGCTTGAGATTAAAGTCTGTATGCGTGAAACATAGACAGAGCATTAGCCTGATGTCTCTCCAATGACGTTGTTTCTAGACGCAGCTGTCACTTGGGTCGTTGCTGTCGATCCCCAGAAATCGAGGATGCAGTGAATAAAATAGTCTTGATCCTACTGAGCTAAACAATGTGGAGTACAAAACTGAGGAAACTAGTTTATCTGGTAATAGTAACCATCTTCATTCAGTGTTTTTTGCAACTCCCGCCTTTATTCCAAAAGTATTTCTCTTGTCTTTTGCAGCAAGAAAAGAAACACAGTAGGTTATAATGATGCGTACTGTACATAGTACAATTTTGTATTTCTCTATGATAGACAACTTATTCAACCACTGTAACAATAGAAAGAAAACAACATTGTTTTTTGACCGCCAACCTTCTTCTGCAGTTTCTCTCAGCTCCTCAGCAGGCTGCATGCTGTACCACACACAATGATTTCGTTTAGGTTACACGTTTTAGGATCATTCTTCTATACTGCTGAGATTTGGATAGTAATGTATGACACCAATGAATGACTTACGTTTTTCTCTTTCAAAGAAGTATGCGTGTTTTAATATGAAATGATACAGAAAAAATGCATAATATATTGATATTGAGGTTATTTTTTTCTGTCTTTACCTCATTCATTTTAGTTGTGTATATATATATACTTGAATCCAATGTCCTTATATTATATGAAAAGGCAAATTCTATGTGTCCATGTTTCTGAATAGGGTAGCAATTTGTTGAGGATAAATAACTTCTAGGTTACTTGGACTGGCAACCCTGCTCTTTCATGTGAACCGAAGCCAATTAGAAAAAGATAATGGGTTTTTTTAAAAGCATAAAAAGAAGATAGTTTTGTGCAGTGTATCTTGAGATGATACAAGTGCTGGCTAAAAGGAAATGGATCACCAAGTATTGAGAATCAGAAAACAAATGAATACCGAATGCTTATCAAGCTCAATGGCCACCAAGGTCACCGTGATGATGGGCATCTTTAACAAAATAACAGCATTATATCACATGTCCTACAATACGTTTTGTCATCACACCTCGCCACTGACTTTATTTCTTAATGAACAAAAATGGATAAATGTATCAATATTTTATAAAAGAAGAAGACCTTTCAAGCAGTGTGATTAGTTTAGGGGAGACAAGAAAAAGCTGAAAATGGCGCACTATTAGCTGCCTTCTTTTTGCCATTTACTTTTGACCTACTGCGAGGTGACATAAAGCTTATGAACTCCAGCTCAGCTCCTCCACTGGATGGTTGTTCGCCTCTCCGCTCTTCTAACAACCAAGCCGAGATAGCACTAGTACTGTAAAACACACGTGTAATTAATGTCATTCTTGTCATACATTAAAGAAATTGTCCCCATTGTTTTTGATTGTAAATGCTTCTGAGGCCATGGCTGTGTGACTGTGTAGTGTTGGTAATGCCATCTGATCCAGTCTGATCTTCATGTGGGCTGAACAGAAACTGATAAAGGCCACAACTCAAATCAAAGTTGAAGCATTTACACAAGTATAACAACATTTATTCACCTCTATCTGTCAGAACACAAACAATCTTACAATCAGATTTGTCAGTCTAGGAAGTGATAAGAAAGCTGTTGTTTTCTGTCATCATCCGACATGTTTTTTTATTGATTTTCTATGACTGAACAACTCTGGTGTTTCCACTTTTAAGTGGATTCACTTTACTCCTAGAGTCTTTTCTACTACAGTGGTATTTCTGCAGACTCTCTGGCTAGCTCAGACTTGAGGATGCAAGTTTGTCAGCAACAGCTTTGTCTTAACTGAAGTAAGAAGTGGATGATCTGGAAGCTGTGGTGAAAATAGATTATCATGATCAGTTTGCATGAGAGTGGTCTGTGCTACATGTCTATATCTGTCTTGCTATGTGTCATATAAAGAAAAACCTCAGGGCAGAGCAAGGATGGCCTTTGGCAGAATCTCAGACAAACTGAAATGTGATTATTTTTTGATGGATGAGAGCCTTAAAATTATGCTCGGCATTTATTTTAACCTGCTTTGAATGCATGATGGGACGAGAAATCTTATTTTAAAAGACGAAACAGCATATTAACAGTCATTTTTAAAACGTTTTCCCCATTCAGGTGATTTTCAAGTGTGTCCAATGCAGGTTAAAAGCAGCCAATAAGCACTAACTGATACTAAGACCAAGCATGTAAAAGCCATGAAGCTCTGTCTTATCCATAAAGCAGAAAGGAAAAAGGAATAATTATCTTCCATTGCTCGTAGAAACCAACAGCCAGCCTATGGACACAGCACCAACCCCATGTAGACAGACCTGGATATCTACTGAAGATCCAGCTATACTTTACTATTGAGCATTGCCTCTAAACATTGCCTTCGCTTCACTGTACAAAACTGGCTTGTGTTTGTGCGCTTGTGTGCTATGATTCTGATTTTGGTTATTATTATAAACTTACCTAAGTTAAATGAGGCATGATGAGATACATGACGAGTGTGCTAAACAGCTAACTCTCTACTTTCCGTTGAGCTATGGTTACAGTAGTGACCTTCTGTTATAATTTATATTTGATTTTATTATCCTCCTCTGTGTTTATATACAGTGTGATGTTTCTACACCAGAATGTTGTAAAATCAGCAAATCCATCAGATTGTGTTTATACAACCTAACATTTAAAGATTTAAAAAGCCAATGTCACTATTACATTTGTACCTCCCTTCTCCCCTGTCGTGGGAAATGAAGATTCAATCATGGATTATGACAAAGCAATGTCCCATTTTGTTTGTTGTTTCCGTTTTACCTTACTTTATTATGGCATAAGGTGATTGCAGTGAGTTTCTTAAAAAAAAAAAGACATGTAATAAAAGGTATAATCATGAGAAAATGTTCATAACACAAAATAAAGTTGTTTGAATTTAATGTTCTGTATTTGAATGTGACTTGACATGTCGGGGCAAGTCACTTTTTTTTGGGAGATAGCTTGAGACACCCAGAATCTTAACGGTACAATTGTGTTTATCACCATGTAACATGCAAATAAAATAATATATGTATTATGGTATTCTCTCTGGAAGACATTTGATCCTCAGAAAGTGTGAGAAATACAACTGAGACGCAGCTCGTCAGCAAGAGGTTTTCCACTTTCAGTTTGTTGTGCAATAGATGAACGGTAAGAGGGATGCACTACAAAAACTCAAAATCTTGCCCATTATATTTGTCTAATTAGTCAGAATATGTCTTTACACTTGATAAGACATAATAACTTCAGCGGTAACACTGCAGTGAGATATCGGGTCTTGTTTTTAGACAATGCATCATCTTGTTAAGTCAAAAAATCTTATTTTGAGTTGTATCTCAGATGAAGCATATCTTTGTTTACATATGTATTAGATATTAACCAACTAACATCAGAAAACAGAAAATGTTTGAGCATTTGCATGTTTTGAAGGAACTTGATAAATGATTAGCTATTCTCAAGTTTCATTGCTGCTTATCTGCCAATTGCACAATTTCCATATATATATATATATATATATATATAACCAAAGCTGTCAAAACCACAAGAAAAAAGTTCAGAGTGCAGATGATGTCACGATTATTTACCACAGTTATATTTCACTTGCATAACACAACATTTCTTGATTCTGGTCAAATATAGTTCAAAATAAGTTCTCCCAGTTAATTACAAGATCTGATTTATCTAAATATCCCATCTTATTTCAATAAATCTTACCAAGCAAATTTTCAATTGTTCTATTGGCAGATTTGTGTACTTATTTCAAGTAAAAACTGCTTGTTTTCATTATTGTTTAACTTATTTTTGGAACAGCATTTTTTCCAGTGTGCTATAAACACCATTATGGACTTAAAGTAATGTCAACATGGCACAGGCTCTTTATACTACGTCACTGCGTAGTGTTCTGTAATGAACCTCAGCGCAAGTTCTTTCAGGAAGACTGGGTATATATACATTCACTCCGCAGCTGCATATAATCAGCTCATCACGGGCGTTGTCTATAACCTATTACATTCACCTCATTCTCCAGCCAATCACTGTGCTGCAGCCAAACTTTAAAATGGTTCTCCTCTCTCCTGCAGTCAGCTGTGATTTCAGGTTTTCATGCTGCCGCCCGCCTCCTCCCCATCCACCTCCTTTCATCATATCCAGTGCCAGGAGAGTTAATCCAAAGACCTCATCACACCTCCTCTTCATCCCATCTCCTCATCAAATCCAGATCTTCAGCATCATCACCAGTGTCTAGACCCCGGGGGGTTCCCTATATGCTCACGGCTGCATTTCCCCCTTTAGATATACGATTTCAGGATCGGGGTCTAATCGCCAAAGACTTAACATTTATCATATGACATGTGTCAATACATGTTCTTTAAACAAAATGAAGTCTCTCCTGATTGAAATGGGAGCTGCTGCAGTAAAATGTTTGACCACGAGATGTCAGGACAAACCAAATTATGCCATTGCTATCTTTTGGGATTTGGCACATTGAGGAAAAATGAGAAATGTCATCATCATTAGCCTTTTAGAGATGAGAATTGAAAAATCAATCCTGGAGCACATGTTTTTTCTAGCATTAACCCCCACACTTTGAGAAATGAGAAAAACTCATTAGTTCAATGGGGTTGCTAGGCTGAAAAATATTTTATAAATATCACTGTAAAACAGCCATAGATTACAATTTTTCTGGCATTTTATACTATGACTTGTTTGACTTACTATTACATTTTTATTACCTTTTTTATGTCATACTAAACTATAACTTTGTTTTGACACACTATCCTATAACTACTTTTATGACATACTATACTACGCCATTATTTATTTGTTACTATGACTTCTTTATTTCGTTTTTAATGTGACATTTAACATTTTAATGACACTGACTTTGACACTACTATACTGTAAACTAGTTTAGTTGATTAATTTACTATGGCAGCCAGATATTTCTCAAAGATACAACACACCATTCACCTTGACAACCATTAGTAGTTCTTCACAGTTCCATAAAGTTCTTCAAGCTTCTTCTCTGGGCTGTTAACGTTGTGCAGTGGTGAGCATAACAAACACATCCTGTTGAGGGTGATTGGACAAACCTTTGAGAAAATATATAACTCTTCCTTCTTCATCAAATCAGTTTTATTAGCGTAAATGTCACACAAGTTCTCCTGAGACTAAGGTTGGTAATCATGTTGACCTTTAACTCCATGCTATCAGGAGTCACATTCAACTTGAAATCCCAGCAAGTGCATGTGCTCTTGCATAAATCTTTGCAAAAGGACCTCTCTCTGATTGAAATCATATCTAATTGAAAGTGCAGTAATATTTGGTTTTTGATCATGTATTTGAAATATTGCATGTAAAACATTTCAGAAACAACTGGTATTGGGCCTTATAACATATATTTGTATATATTAAAACAATATGATTGTTAAAGGTCCCCTATTATGCTCTTTTTCATCAATATATTATAGGTATAGGTATATATACAAAACATGTCTCTGAAGTGTTTGGCTCCAAATACCAAACATCCCATAATCCCCTCTGTTTGAGCCCTGTTTCAAAAGTGCTGATTCTGGATCTGTTACTTTAGATGAAAATAAGGAGCCACTCCCCACGCCCCTCTGAGAGATATTTGGTTAAAAAGAACACAATGGTGCTCTAGGAGGAGATTCAGGTGATAAGGTGTGGGGGGGGGGGGGGGGGGGGGGGGGGGGGGGGGGGTTACCTTGGTTGGTTATTGGCTAATGGTTACACAAACCAAAAAAACGTTATGACATCATAAAGTGGCCAAAATCTGATCAGCTCATTTTCAGACAGGATTATATATATATGGATCATTTTTTCCTGAAATTTTCAGAATCTCTTAATGCAGAGGGGACACATATTTATGTATAAAAGACATGAAAAAGTGGATTTTGCATAATAGGTTTAGACGCCTATAATATTTAAGTACTCTGCTAGAAATCCTGTATTCTGCTCTCTGGTAGATATGCCTTAGATTTGGCAGAATCAAGACACACCTGAATACAGATGATTAGAAACCTTGATTATTATCCTAGGATAGCCAAGTTTGTCATGTGATTTTAGATGTGTCTTCCTTAAGAAGCTTAAACCCAGGATAAGACTCAGAAGCAGAATATTACAGTGCTCGTTGCATCCCATGTATGTCAGGTGTTGCCTCTGCTAATTAAATATGTCTAAAATAGTGGTACAGTAACTAATGTATTGCCAAATGTTTGCTAATATTCATGATTGACTAGCTAAAGTCTCAAGCCTTAAATGAAGTGTTGGTGCATGAAACCAAGTGTGATATGAGAATATTTAAAGCACTCTGTAAAGTGTGTTGCATGAAAATGGATTAAATATGCCAGATAGTGAGTCAGTCTTGCCTCCAGATATATTCCACCCTCTGAAGTGACACAACATTTGAACATGGCTTTAAACAAACTCCACAGTGTATGATGGTAATTGGCACATTTGCTTTATTTTGAAAACAGACATTGAAACCATTTGTTTTTTTTCATATTTTTTCTCACAAGTTTGAACTCCTTGATAAGGTTGAAACTGGACATTGCACTCACTGGAACATGGGAAAAGTATTTTTGTTTGCTCGTTTGTTTGATATTTATTTTTACGTTTTTTTTGCGTAACATCAGTGCAAGAGTATTTTTCCAATTCATATAAACTGTCATAACAACACCAAAGACATCAAAAAGAAGCTGCCACACCTCTTAAGTTTCTGTGACTGCGAAAAAGTTCCTCTCAGAGGGAGAGTTCCCATCATGCATCTGGTTCGATGGTTCATGCTACTGTTCTTACTTTTGGTTGGCAGAACACAATTCGTCATGTAAAAGTCAGTTACACCAGTACTATAGCTGACTCCTATATTTTATTATATGCTTATATCATTTAAATGGCAACAGGTCCTTTACTGTAAATGTGAGTAGAAAGGGAGTCTGAAAAAGGGGTGTAAACCAAGCTTGAATGACTCAAGCAGAATAGAGAGTGAGTAATATTCTTGTCCTATATGTGTTATTTGGAAAAAGGATAAAGCTGCCCAACTGGAAATGTCACACATTTAATAATACATTCTATTCTCCATTTGATGTGTCAGTACATTACCTATTTGCTGTGTTCTCAATTCACTTGTACTGTCTTGAAAACTAGAGTTGCATTTTAAACCGGCTTGTTTTTGTGCGTGCATTTGCAGAATTACAGATCTTTTTTGCAAAGTGTGTTTAAAGAAAGTGCATTGCAATGCAAATAAAGTGTGGTGCATTCACAATGCATTTGAAACGTGTAAATATCCAGTTGGGAGCAATCATTTTACCATTGATTCACTGACATTAGATAGTGAACATCAAATCTGATCCTCCTCCATCATCAAGTTAACAATCATTTTTTCATTATCAACAACATCATTCTCATCTCCACCTTCTCATAATATTAGCTTGAGCCAAAAAACGTAACGCTGGAAACTCCCCCAACATGAGAAAATCATTGCCACACAAAAAATGACAAACAAATAGAAACGGACTGCCTTCACATTGGGAAGGCAAAGAGCAACCTTTTTAGATTTTGTTTTTTGTGTTATTCTTCATATTCTTAATTCTGCTTTCTTAAGGTTTGCCTTAGTCATCCTTGGACTCGGTGCCCTCCGCCACTGCATCTGCCGGGGCGGCCTCCTCTGCTTTAGACTCCTCTGCAGCATCTGGTTGGAGGAAGGGAAGCAAAGGCAAAGCAAGAGGAAAGGGAGATTTTAGGGTGGAGAGAAGGGGACAATAGATAAAAAGGTGGGTTGGGGAGAAGAGAGAGAAGGACAGATTAGCTTGTGGAGAGGAGGTTTTACATTACACAATGTCTGAGATTGGTTGCAATAATAAAGCTCTATGTAGGTCTTCTGAGATGAATATTTCACATACAATACCAGCTGCTACGTTTGATGTTTTCAATATTTCACCTCTAAAGGATCTCTGTATAAAAGAGCATACGGTAACTTAAAACCATTACAAAAATGTGGATCAAAAATACTAAGAAGAAACTGT